AAGACACACGGTGAGGAAGGAGAAAATTCTTTACATTTTCATACACTTGAAAGGTGACTGAGGAAGAGATCGACTCAAGCGCAAAATCCTAGTGACGATTTTTTGACTAATCCTAGACTTGAATCCTAGACCGTTTACACATTTTTTGTGGTTATAATTTTAGGATTTTAATATGTTATTTACGTTTTTTCATTTACATTAAATGGTAAAAGCTACCAAGAATCATGGAAAATATATTTACGCCAGTGCTCCACTGCTATAATTAGCAGATTTGATTGGAGAAGATGTTACCAAAGTCATGTGACTTTCAGGCTACTTGGAAATATGGAAAAGAAAGTACAGTATCTGCTACTAAAAATATTAGATTAAAAAAGGGGTAAAGAATTACGAAATGGTACAGTTACAGGTACAGGTTGAAATGTTATAGGGCACCCAATGTTTCCTATAAGTAAATGGATATAGTCCTATTACACTTCCACTTTTATTAATTTAGAATGTAATGGGTAAATAATAGTTTACAGTCGGTGCATTTGCACTTAAAAACTTTGGAGTCATTTCCAGAATTTTGGTAGGATAAATTTTTATACAAACACAATTTTTTTTAAGTTTGCGAAATTTTGTCATAGTATATAATTAGTCATATTAGATCTTTAGGATCAGGCTTATAATAGATAATTTTTTTCATAGTTCGTTATTTGTAGTATATGTTTGTATATTCATAATTCGTAATAGTAAAATTTATTTGTAGTTTGTAATAGGAGTATTAATAGTTAATTTATGAGGTTATAACAATTGGAGTTATTGGGTAACTGAGCTATATCAAATTAATTAACAGAAAGTTTTCCTCTTCTGGATGAAAGGTACATCATGCTTTTTCCTATTTTCTTTCTGAAATACTTATTCTTGATTGCAAATTTAAGAAATGCATTTGCATTTGACGTAGGTAATTTAATACGAAATGATTTAGTTAAGGGACAGGTATTTATATTAGTATTAGGGTCTTCCCTATCCCCACAAATGCACCGATCGGAAGTAGAGCTGTTTCTTTGCTGAAAGTATGTGGGGAATAGGCCATGTCCTGCGAGAAAGCAATTTATGTAGTGGTTGACCACTTGTGCATTTTTCGTTAACATGAGGAGCGATTTCATGCAGTATTCAATCTGTGTCACTATTTTGCCATTCATTTTCCCAGATATTTGTTTTAATTTTTCCAAGATGAAATTTTAGGTAGGATTTTGGTCAACGATGTTGCATTATTAGAGTATTAGTGCCTGTTATGGCTGATTTTGCAGCTGTATCAGCTTCCTCGTTCCCCGTGATTCCAACATGAACTTTGATCCATGAGATTCTTGGAGATGGACGAAGAGGTTGTGAGGTACTTTCGATGATTTGTTGAATCAATTCAGATTTATTCTTGGTATTTTGGAGCGCTAGAATTGCTGACTGACTGTCTGTAAAGATGCGTATTAGCTGCAAGTTGTTAATTAATGAATAATTAACAGCTAATTTTATAGCTAAGAGTTCAGCTTGAAAAATGCAGTTTTCTTTAGCAAGGCGTGCTGTTAGTGTAAGTTTTTTGGTACAGATTTGGTAAGATTGTAAGGATTATGGTCATTTATCTAACAGTTAAATTTTGAGTTAAAGTTACTTTCCTGTCTCTTCCTAATTTCAAGCTTACAACGTCCGGCGAGAACGTATTTTTAGAATCGCGTTTGAATGCAAATGAGGAGGAGTATTTAACTCTGGAAGTTCTGCTTACCTCGTTGAAGAGCCAGTGATCCTGAATGGCACGCGTTCGCCTTTTTCAGGCTACTCTCCCTCTTAAGATATTATTACGCTCGACCGTACTTTAGGCCCTTGATAGCTTCTCCGTTAATTAACATTAAGGGGCCAACTCTGTTAAAATTTTGATAGCTTCAGCTATATCTTTTTAGTTAAGATTAGTTAAGTTTTAATTTTTAGTTTCCTACGTTCAAGCCGGAGAGGAGGCTTTCTTGTAACTCCAAGAAAGGAGTCGTCTTCGAAACGTTATTGGAATAATAAAGGGTTATTTAACCCTTCTTACGTTTTGTTCTCCATCTCACGAACTCAAGCGATTATTCGCTTATCAGTTCTTAAGATTCGTCAACTTTAACTGTAACCTAAATTACACAGGTTAGAATCTTACAAGATAATACAAGCACATCCAACACATGTTTCCATTTTAGAGCCGTCTGTATGGATAATAGAATAACAGAAGTTTTGAAGGGGTGGTTTTAGAGTATAAGAGATTCTGAGATTAGTAGTTGGGTGCTTGCTATGAGAGTTTCCAGAAGTTTCAAATTTTGTTGGATCGAGTATTTCTTCTTGTATAGTGCATGGTCTTCTTAACTTTAATATTATGTCTTTAATGTGCTTGAATGTGATGTAATATGGAGAGGTGGAATTCTAGAAAGGATGTAAAGAGCTTCATTTGTAGTTGTCCGATAGTATTTGGTGGTGCGGAGGAGAAATGGACGCTGAATCGCTTGAAGTAAGTTTTTTTTCAATGGTTGCGACCAGATTTCTGCACAGTAAAGAACAATCTTTTCAATAACTATACTAAAAAGTATTTTTTGAATGCGTGGGTTTAAACCCCACTTTAAGCCTTGGACTTTTCTTAGATTATTTGCTAATTTGCATGTTTTTGTTCTAATATAGAGCAGGTGGTCAATCCAGTTTTAGAACTATTTTAATTCTATTATTATGTATACTAAATTTTGGAAGTCTTGTAATGTTCTGAGATTTTTTTAAAAATATTATTGCTCTAGATTTTTCTGGAGATAGATGTTGATATTTAATTTAAGTCTGGCACACTGAGTTTTTAAAAGATGTAGTGTTTCATTTACATTAAATTCAAGTTGGTCTAAGTTCGTCTAAAAGTAGACGAATGTTGCATCATCAGCGAATACTATAATTTTGGTGTAGTCTGGCCATTGATATTATAGAATTAAAAGTAAGTGCTCAGACATGATCCATGTGGACAGCCTCGTTGTTGGATTTTTTTCTATAATTTTATTATTATTGATAATTAGACTCCTCCTTTCTTTTAGAAAATCTTGTAAGATAAGGAAGATGTTTCTAGGACAGTATTATCTGAGTGCCTCTATTACTGCGGGTCACCAAAACGAATCAAAAGCTTTAGTTAAATCTAAGCAGATAAGTGCTGAGTGGAGATCTGTTGATTTGTTGATAGTAATTTGATCAGACTGAGTCTATTGCGCTTGTGGTTGATTTATTTGGAGTAAAACGGTAATTATTGCTACTTATATAGTTAATTTTCGTGAGATGCTGGCGAAGACGACCAGTTATTGCTCTCACTAGAAGTTTTATTATGGCTGGTAATAGGTTAATTTGTCTGTTAAGAGTTTGCATCATCAGAATCTTTATCTGGTTTACTAAATAGGACAACTTGGCCTGTTTTGAAGCAAGTCGGAAAGGTATTTAGAAGAAGGCATTTATTACAAATATCTAAGAATATCGTTCTGTCCGGGGAGTGAATGAGTTTTATTATTTGGTTTGTAACACCATCTGGGCCTGGTGCTTTATTTTTAGGGAGCTGCTTGATGATACTTGAAATCTTTCGTAAAGTAAAATGTATGTCATTTGATGAACGTGGAGCAGTATTGTTAATTCTAACTGTTAATTGTTCAGCTGTATCTTCATCGGGATTATCCTGTATGAAAACGTTGTCCATAATTTTTTATATTGCTGCAGATGTTGCATCTTGATTTTGAAGCGAACATTGACTAATATCGAAAGGAATTTTGATTTGTGTCGGTTTGAAGATTTTGTTCATATATATTTTGTATATTGAACCATAGGTATCTTTAGTTTTGGTACAATATGATTTCCAGCAATTATTTTTAGCTTTTAGGATCCTTCTTTTGTAAATAGCTTTTGGCTGTGAAAAGAAGGATATACGCAGCATCTTTGGAGTCTTGAGTTGGAGCTTCCTTCATTTTCCTGTAATAAGCTCTTGTCTTGTTCCTTTGTGTTCTTAGTTCTTTAGTCTACCACTTTATATTAATTTTATTTCTTGATGTTTTAGTTTTGAAGGAAATTTTGCAATGATTTTGAATAGAGTTCGTAAGATCTTCTACAGCGTTATTTAGAGTAGTTTTATTGAAGGAATTAATGTCGGAATGAATTCGGAAAATGTCTGGTCTTATTGATCGAATAAAGTGCTTACTTGACCTTGGCTTGATTTTAAAGCCGTGAACAGAGAATGTTTTATTATTCAAATTACTTGTAAAAGAAATTAACTTATGGTGTGATAGGGAAATTGTTTCGTGAATTCGCCCTCCATGAAGAGATTATATTGGCCAAGGAATAGGAGGTAAGTGTAATATCTGGCCAATCACGCCCATGAATAGTTTCGTAGGTTGGTGGAGCAGAATCTACGTTGTGGAGGAAGAGATTATGAGAATGGTAGGTGGTAGGTGATAGGTGACGGGGCGGGGCACGGGCACTGTACCTTTACCATTAACACTATGAGCAGGATAGTATGCAATACCGTTGATTTTAACAAACTGTGATTTTCCTTTGTTTGCGTTTTCTTTCTTTGCCTTAGCGCTACAGGCGCTTTACAAATTGTATCTGTAACAGATATTTGTATATGCTTTATGACAAAAAATGATGAAATGCATATCATCTTCCAATATCTTATCCAACTTTAACGTAATTTATATGCTATCTTTCTTCAAAGGCTTGTAAATCTTCAAGGAATTTTCCAACTGGAAAATAATAACGGACTTATAAACTTATAAACGGACTCGCAAAATATATATTATTTAACATAAAATTAGTCATTTTATTTCCTAAATTAAAGAATCGTATGTCCTTTCGTGTGGTTTGTTTATGAATGACCCTCGGCCAACCCTGGACACTACCCCTGGCTCAAAATTGGAGTGGAAGTAGAATTCCAACTTTCTTGCATTCTCGCATAGGCGTGAATAAAACTACTGACTCAGACGAAGGATAAAAAGAACCCTTTATTAATTCAAAATAGTTAACAGAAACGCACGGTATTTGTGCGTTACAAAAGCACTGTTAACTTGCGGTGGAAACTAACACGTAGAATATAGTTTAAGTCAAACCTAAAATAAATAGTGCAAGATAGCACTTAAGTTACGCCTAAGAGGTGGACTTCGAAACGTTTCTTCACTTGTCATAATTTACTAGTTCTGGAATATCGCAAAAATATTTCAAACAGTCCGGATTCTTGATGTTGTTGACTTGAGGAACTTCATTCGTAGCTACAATCTGCCGGACAACTCCTTCCATTCTCTTGTTGTTCACGTTGTACTGAAAAAAAAAATTAATAATGTAATTTTAGTTATTTGTTATACACTATTAGTCATACTGCTTCACTCATAAGTAAAAAGAAATATTATTTTTAATTTGCCGAATAATTTATCAGTAGCGTTTGATACTGATAAATACAGCTTAATCTTTTAAGAGATTCATATTCCCAGTAATTTTAATTCCCTTAATGAATACTCCGATTAATTTAATACTTCATTGATTTTAATCAAAATCAATGAACGATAAGTCATTGCAATATCACTAATATCCATTGTATCACTTCTTGTATAACCGAATATTTACATCATACATTAAATTACACATATATTTGCGAATCACTTTAACATGTGATTTTCCTTACAGGTATATCCGGAGCCTCTAGAATGACTTTTGGGACGCAGTCGATGCACAATTCCCTTTCTATGGTCTTTGAGATCTTTTCCTTGAGCTCTGGTGTAAATTTGCTGCCCTCTTTTAGCTTGACGAACAGAACAGCTCTTGAGTCACCATCACTTCTACTCTGACTCACACATATATAATCAAGAATCTCTTCCATCTCATGAACTAAAAGTAAGAAACAAACGTAAATGATTTTTTTCAAAAGCTGAAAATTTTCCAGGAATCGCATCACAGTTTTGCATGAAGACAAACTGTTAATCATGAAAGTATTAAAAATAAGGATTAATAACTGATTATATTAAGTAAAGGAAACTTGGAAACTTGATAAATACTACAAATAAGATTATGGAAATTTGAAAAAAAAATACTACAAATAAGATACATTATAGTGAAAAGATATAGGATTTAGCGTTTGCTATTCCAGTCTCATGCCATATCATGTTTAGGAATTAAGGTCTTTTTGTATTTGAAGCTGATAAATGAAACTCCTGTGGAGGGCTCAGAAGCCAAGCATTTTAGTGCAAAAGTTTCCTCCGGGTTGTGCTACAGATATTTGGAGATGTTTCGTGTTGCAGTCGTTGACCATTCACCGATACGTCTTCGAACGTTTCGGACTGCGCTGCCAATATTTTGCAAAAAAAACAATTGTTCCAAAAAGAATAATATTAGTTTTTTTTGAAATATTTTGGGTAAATTCCTTACTTTGATGTAAAATTCGAAGTTTTCATTTAGAACAAATAATAAATAGATTAATCCTGGATAATAAACATCATTATATATTATATGTAACAATAAATATTATGTACTTTTCGAGCAAGAAATATGTGCAAGTTTGTGAAAATCCAATGCATGTGAAATCTGGAAAGAAATGGCTTCAACTCTTCAAATAATTACGTTAACATGGGTAAAAACTTCAGAAATTTACCCGGTTGAAAAATATACTGTCTGCTTTTGAGTTCTTGTTTCTTAATCAGATCCTTAATTTATCTTTTGGATTTTCTTCATTTAATTGCTCTTTCTCCATGTAGTATAAGTGCTTTTGTTTGGCAACACAATTTTGCTTCATTTGTTAAGTATTTATGTTATTTGTTGCTCACCTTCTAGTGGGAATGATTTCATTTAAAGCGAGTTATTAGATGAAGAAAAGTGTAATTCATAATAGGGAATATTAATTTTTACTTCCTTGCTTTAAAATTAATTGTGAAGAGAATTTGTTGTGGCGTCTGTACGAACGTATGTACGTACGGCGTACGTACGTACGTACGTATCTCGCATAACTCAAAAACGAATAGCCTCAGAACGTTGAAATTTTGTATATAGGACTGCTATAACATGTAGATGTGCACCTCGTATTTTGGTTGCAATTGGCCGCACCAACGTATATAAATATATTTATAATATATATCCACTTTGTTCCCGGCTCAGTGATCTCAGTTCTTTCCTCTTATATGTTTGTAATTGTACATTTTTTTGCTTTAAAATGATTGAATTATGTTGTTTTATCTCCGGTTAATGTTTTTATGCCTTTAGTAAATCTGTATGCAATATTTTTAGAATTATCACAATTTTAAAGTTGGTTAAGTTCCGCTAAGCCTTTTTTTATGGGGCCATTGATTGTTTACATTTGAAACAGCAGACTAGTGGATTTGTTGCCAATCTAGAGAAACTTAGCTTCGCAACAACAAAGAACACCTTCATTTATTATTGCCATTAAATCATGCTTAATCCTTTAGGAATTTTTTCGAGGAATAAGTGTTTAAAATTTACTTCGTAATTTTTATATAGATATTTTGAGTTTTTATGCATTTTTGCCTTTTCGCGAAGTGAGAACTGAATTAATGATGAGAATACTCAATCGTCTGTAAAAAACTGTTTCTTTTTTGTTTTATTTGCTTAATTTCTTTTATACATCATTCTAGCTTTATTATTCATTTCTTTTCATAGTTACAAGAAGTAATTATGTAAAATTTCTAACTGCAAAAGCTACCAAAGAGGAATGAATGTAATTTCGTTGTGATGTATCTGCACTTTATTTATAAGGAATGAAAATACAATAAAATGTACCTGCAAGACTAGATTATTTCTGTTAAAACTTGCTGGCTTCGTCTGTTGGTATCATGGAAAAAATATGTCACTTATTGCTTTTATAGTATGTTTATTACTAATATTCTCATTTAGTTACTTTTATTATAATTAACTCTTATTATATTATTTTAATCCTATATACAAGGTGGTTCAAATAAGGCAGGAAGGGATTTTTTTTTACAAAACCTTTATTGCGAATGAAACAGTTGAACAACGTCCATCTTTTAATGTACTCCCCTCCAAAGTCGATATATTTTTGCAAACGTTCTTTCAGCTTTTTCATGTACTTTCGATCCTGAAAACTGATCGCAACAGTACTTTTCTCTAGATACTGCATTCTTTTCTGGTGGAATTTGAGCCTGGTACTTGCAATTGAAAAAAGAACGCAGGTTTCATTGACTTTCACTATGGCCTTCTAGAATGCGTCCCCCTTCATATCCAAACCACCATAGGAGAGAACTGGTAGTTTGGATGCGCATCATTTTTTTTTTCTTTTGCATGTGTCAACTAAAGTGGGACGATCCGCTTTTGAACTAATTAAAAGAAGCAATTCTCTTTCTTGAACGAATTTACCCTAACTCCAGAATAGGAATAAGAATATTGCTGGTCTAATATGCGAAGCGCAATTTTACCAGTTCACATGAATTGATGACCCTTCGGCGCTTGACGCTGTATATTTCGTGAAAGTACGTGCAATCCGTAGAGAGGAAGCTTGGAAAGGTAAATCGAAGTGAGTGATCCTTTGTCACGGTGGTGCGAGAGCCTGCAAGAGAAAACAGACGTCGCTGGAAAGGCAGGGAAACTCGCTCCTCGGTATAATGGTGCCTGAGCACCACAGGGCCTAAGCACGAGGCCTTATCTGTTGTAGAAACGGTTGAAAGTTGTGAAATAATTAAAAGAAATTTCTCTGAAGTTCAGGTACATAGGCAGGAGACCATCAGCAGAGCAGCTACTGCGTCATTGCGACTTTCAGCTTTTCTGCTCTATCGATAGAAACTATCAGCGCTATCCGCTATCAGCGGCATTGATTGAAAATAAAATTTTACAAAGTTACAATGGTTGTGCAAATATACATATGACATACAGAGATAGAGTATTCAGGTCTTGAGGTATTTGCATAGATGGCAATATTTACAATAAAGCTCATAACATGAATATTTAGAGAATTGTTACTTAAGATGAAAATTTATGTTTACAGATTTTTATATATTAATTTTGAAGATAATATAAAATGTCATTATACATTTTAAAGAATTTAGACAATATAATTTAGAAATAATTAAGCCAAATTAAAAAAGAATGAGAAAAACACTAAATATAGAATAAACATTAAATAAATTTAGAAAAATATAAAATGTAGACTGGAATAAATATTAAAGATATACTAAAAGTAAATAATAAATGAAATAATAAAAATATTAGGAATAATCTTCTAACTACTAATTTTATAGCTAAGGAATAATCTTATAGTTATGAGAAAAGAAGTATTATAATTAATAATCTCCTAACTAAAATCTTATAGTTAAGGAATAATCTTATAATTATGAGAAAAGAAGTATTATAATTAATAATAAGAAAATGAGTATTATAAATTTATTGAAGAAAAATATTTAAGGTAAGTGCTAAGGGAAGGAGGTGAATAGATAGTAATTTGAAAAGTGAAAGACTTAAGAAACATGATTAATATTGAACCACTGTTATAAATGTTGAAAAATTACAGCTATAAAATCTTGATAACTAAACTACAGAGTTAACTACAACACTAATAGTACAAAATTATAATAAGGATAATTAAATGTAAATGATATAATGATTAACAGAATTGTTATTATCAATATATGAAATAGTAAATGTAATATTAATAAAACTTTTTACAATCATAGTACTAGTATTAAATAGGAGTAAAACTGCTATCTGATAGTAAGCTTAGTCAAACTGCAATGCTTTAAAAAATCGTATAATGCAGTAGAATCTGACAGTATGATGATAAACATAAAATAATATAATTAAAGCTGAAGTAGATTAATAACATTAAAGATTATTAGTGTTATAGATGTAAGGGATTAAAGAGATGAAGAGTTGAAAAGTGAATATTAGGAAAATATGGGATTAGTGTTAATATCGTATATATTGTTAATTATTAAGGAAGTCTGACAGTTATGATCATAATGTATTATAATTAAAATAGTAAAGGAATAAATGATACATGTATTAGTTAATAACTATTAAAGAATGATAAAATCTGAGATACGTTAACATCTAAGGAACAATAATAAAATAAAATAAAATATTGGAATAGGAACATAAAATGAGATAATAATATACTTATTAATGTATAATAATATTAGGATAAAAACATATAATGAACGATAATAATATAATATAGAGCACTGAAATAGTTACATAAATAAGTTGATAAGATGTATAAATGTAAGCTAGTTAAAAAAGTAAATCTGTAAAAAATATACACTTAATAATGATGAGTGGGAGTCTATTGCACAAAGGAATAATATATAAAAGTCGAGAACTCAAGAGTCTATAAGTTCTTTAAAGTAATTCAAATTCAGAGTTTCAAATCCCAGGTATAAAATATCTAAACCTTGAAAGCTAATGAATATTTAGTCTTTTTTCTAGAGTTTCAATGTTGAAAAATATTAGAATGGGGTTATAAAGTAAATTGGTAGAAGACCCATATTGAAGTGTCTATAATTTCTTAGTGTTCATAATAATCATGATTTTCTTGAAAGAAAATTTAAATTTAAGTGGTAATCATATAAATGTTTTCAGAAGAGATTCTAGAAATAAATGAGTAGTCTGTAACTGTAGAGATAAGTAAAAGGTAAATAGTCCTTGAGAATATAAGTAGGTCTTGAATATAAGAAGAGAGCAGTCCTTGAATTGTAGTCTTTAAATTAAAAATATTTGAGTAGAAATTAATCGAAGTCAAGATAATTGACATATAAACATGTACAATGATGAAGACAATAAGATTAGAGAGGACGTAATTCGGGTAATTAGATTTTATATAATAAGAAATTCAGAAAAGGCATGATGATGTCATTTTACACGAAATTTTGAAA